TTTGGGGAAAAACTTCTTTGACCTATACATCAGTCAAATGCACAGATCTTAAGTGCCTGGCTTGATGAATGTTTACAAAGTGAGCTCATCCATATTAACTGCCATTCAGAGCAACATGTGGAACTCCAGAGGGAATATACCTGCTAAGAAGGGCTTCTCGTGGACACAAATTTATAACTAGAGTCTCGCAGCCTTTGCCGACAGAGGCCTCCCGCACACGCTGCATTTCAGGGAGAAGCTACCCACCGAGCTGCCAGCCTCCCCGGCGGCGCCCTGCTGGGTCAGCCCTTATGAGGGAGCTCCTCCTATTGTCTTTTGACCTGTAGGACTGACACCTGTTTTGTCCAGGTGGAACTGCTACCTATATCCTCATTTGCATGTATACTGACCAATCAGAGTGGCTCCATAACAATCAATCAGAACTCAAGAAGCCAACCAATCAGGCCAATGCTATTTGGACCAATCAGACTGTGCATATTTGGAGTCCTCATTTGCATAAAAATGGGCCAATCAGGAACTAGAGCGTGAACTTTCTCTGTAAAAGGCTGCCTACCTTTTGCACTTTTGGTTTTTGGTGGGGGGCTGTTTCAGGGGTTTGTAAAGCGTTTACCTGAATCAAGTTTATCAGTTTCTGCACCCTGGATTGGCATGAGATTGGTGGTGGTGACCCTTCGTTGATAAAGATGACCAGGAAACTCCTTTATATACCATCTCAGTCATTCTCTACCACAAAGATAGCCATTATCCTGACTTGTTATCAAGATGCTGTCCTGTTTTTGAATGTTGTGTAAATGGAATCATACTATATATGCTTTTCTGTATCTTTTTTTAACATTATTTTATTTTTTTAATCCTCACCTGAGGATATTTTTTCCATTGCTTTTCCGAGAGAGTGGGAGGGAGAGAGAGAGAGAGAGAGAAACATCAATGTGAGAGACACACATCCATTGGTTGCCTCCCCCACGGGGCCCTGGATGGAGCCTGCAACCAAGGGACTTGCCCTTGACCAGAATCAAACATGAGACCCTTCAGTCCAGGGACCAAGGCTCTAACCACTGGGCCCAACCGGCTAGGGCCTGTGTCTGTCTTTTGTCAGTCAATATTATGTCCATAAGATTGACCCAGGTAGCCACATTTTGCAGTTTATTCTTTCCTATTGCTGTATAGTATGCCATTGCACGAATATAGCACAATTTATTTACATATTCTACTGCTCATAGTCATTTGGGTAGTTTCCAGTTTTTGGCTATTATCAGTAAAGTTGTTAGGAATATTCTTATCCATGTCTTCTGGTAAACATAAGCACTCATTTCTGTTCCATAATAAGTTGAGTGGAATTGCTGATTATGATATATATAAATACATATATATTTGTATATGTATGTCCAGCGTTAATAAATACTGCATACATACTCCAAAGTGTTTGTGCCAATTTGTGCTCCCATCAACAATTGTATGAGAATTCAAGCAGTTCTGCATCTTTGTCCACATTTACTATTTGCAACTTTTTAATTCTGGCCATTATATTGGGTGTAAACTAGTATCTCCTGGTTTTAATTTGCTTTTCCCTGTTGAGTAATAATGTTAATCTCTTTTTTGTATTTACTAGTCATTTGTGTTTTTTCCTACTGATTTGTAAAAGTTCTTTATATGATTTTTTTTGTTAGATACATGCATAGGAAATATAGTTTGCCAGTATGTGGCTTGCTTTTTGACTCTCTTAATGGTATCTTTAAATAAAAAGATGTTAACTTTTTATCTTCACCCAAAGAGTATGTTTATTGATTTTAGAGAGAGAGGAAGGAGGAGAAAGAGAGAGAAACATGGATGTGAGAGAAACGTGGATTGGTTGCCTCCCATATACACTCTGTAGTTATGTGCCCTGACCTGGAATCAAACCCAAAATCTTTTTGGTATACAGGACAATGCTCCAACCAACTGATCCCTACTCAGCCACAGCAAGAGACCTTAATTTTAATAGAATCTAATTTATCAATCTTTTTATATGGTTAGTGATTTTATGGCATTTTTTCCAGGGAAGTGAGTTACATAGGGAACAACAGGCTTAGGGAGCTGAGTAGAACACTGCCAAATCCACATTTACCCATATACCAGATGTAGTTTTTAGTTTTTATAACCCCCCAGCCCTCACCTTTGCCCCTCTCCACTAGACCCCACCCTCTCCTCTCTCTGGCCCTAACCACATAGTTGTCTGTGTCCATGGGCCATGCATATATGTTCTTTGGCTATTCTCTTCACCTTCTTTCATCCCATCAGCTCCACCCACCTCTCCTTTGACATCTGTCAGTCTTTACCATGTATCCATGACTCTGGTTCTATGTTGTTCATCAGTTTATTTTGTTTATTAGATTCCATATATGAGTGAGATCATGTGATACGTGTCTTTCTCTGACAGGCTTATTTCTCTTAGCATAATATTCTCCAGGTCCATCCATGCTGTCTTAAAGGGTAAGAGATCCTTCTTTTTTATAGCTGCATAGTATTCCATGGTGTAAATGCCCCAGAGTTTTTTTATCCACTCATCTACTGATGGGCACTTGGGCTCTTTCCAGATCTTAGCTATTGCAAATAGCACTGCTATGAACATAGGGGTGCATAAGTTCTTTCTGATTGCGCACCACCATCTTGACTGAGCTTTGCCTGTAATTTTTTCCTGTAATGACTTGCCAGGTTTTTGTATTATAATTTTATTTACTTAATAGACCAATTTGGATTGTTTCTTTTCTCTATATTGTTTGAAAGAGTTTATGTATGTTTGGAATTATATCTTTTTTAAATGTTTGCAAAAATTTATCAGTGAGGCAAACCATCTGGGTTTGAAATTTTTCCTTGTGGGAAAAATTTTAAATACAGATTTGATTTTTTAAAACAGATCTAGGACTATTTAGAATTTTTATTTTTCCTGTTTTTCAGAAATGTTTTTCAAGAAATGTTTCCATTTCATCTAAGTTGCTAAATTTATTGGGAAATTTTTTCCTATAATTTCTTCTTACTATCTTTTAACAGTGTCCATAAAAATTAGTGGTTTTCTTTTTCATTTGTTTTCTCATTTTTTGTTAGTCTTACTAGGGGTTAACAGTTTTAATTAACCCTTCAAGAACTACCTTGTGGCTTTGTTGATTTTCTTTTTCATAGGTCAGCATTCTATTTAATAGATTTTTCCTTATTCTTCCTTTATCCTACTTTACTTAAGTTTATTTTTGCTATTTTCTCTAGATTTTTGAGATGAAATTTTAGGTGGAATCTTCAACCTTTCTTGTTTTTAATACATGAGCTTAGTTATAAATTTTTCTTTAAGCACCACTTTAGCTGGATCCCACAAGTTTTGACATGTCATATTTTTTATTATCAATTTAAAATATTATTTCTTTATAATTTTTTCTTTCACCCATGGGTTTTTAATTTTTTTATTGATTTCAGAGAGACGAAGGGAGAGGAAAAGAGAGAGGTAGAAACATCAGTGACGAGAGTCATTGATCGGCTGCCTCCTGCACGCCTCCTACTGGGGATCGAGCCCACAACCCGGGCATGTGCCCTGACCGGGAATCGAACCAAAATCTCCTGGATCATAGGTCGATGCTCAACAGCTGAACCACGCTAACCAAGCTCCCCATGGGTTTTTTTAGAAGTGTCTTGCTTACTTTCATTTTTTTTGTACTCAGGTTAGAGATCTGTGTTCTATGCATTTCAAATTTTTTAATATTTGTTGTGATTTGCTTTATGGCTCAGGATATGGTACATTTTTATAAATGCTTCATGTGTACTTGTAAAGAATGTGTAGTCTAAAGTTGTTCAACTTTTTATGTCTTTAATGATTTTTAAATCAGATTGATCTATCAGTTATTGAAAGAGGTATCTTAAGATCTTCAAGTCTGATTGTGAATTTTTCTGTCTTTTTTCTTTTGTTTATTGTGATAAAATGTACACAACATAAGGTTTGCCACAGTGTTTTTCAGTTTGGTAAATATATGTATATGTATATATGTATATGTATATATGTATAAGTATATATGTATATAAAAATATGTTTTTCAGTTTGCTTTATATATTTTGAAGTCATCTTTATCAGTACATATAAATTTAGGATTGTTATATCATCATGATGGGTTTATTTAGGAAATAAATTATTTATTAGGAAATTATTCTAAGAAATGTTTCCTCGTCACTTTCTCTTTATTTCTCTTAACAATTCTTACTTTAAAGTCTACTTTGTCTGATAGTTAATCTCACCACCTTATTTTTTGTTAATGTTTGCATGGTGGATTAACTTTCAATCTATCTGAGCCTCATGTTTGTAAGGTGTTCCTTGTAGAAAGCTTTCTAAGTAGATCTTGCCTTTAAATGAAATGCTGATGTAAATCAAACTCAGGCCCACTCACAGTTACCTGGGTTTGTGGCACCCATAAGAGGGAAATGGTAATGCCTTGGGTAAGAACACAGCAGTTTAGATTTGACAGAGCTGATGGAAATGACCACCCTCAAATGTATTTGTTTGTGAAATGTTTTATATTCATTATAAATATTGTAAGGTTAAAGAAGAGTAGGCTTGAACTGTGGAATGTGGAATGGTTAACTGCCATTTAGCATCCTCAGAGGGAAAGATGTGTAGTTGGTGCTATGTAAACCTCTAAATTTTTCTTAGAAAAATTTCTAATTGAACTATTTCATATTGGAATCATAGATTAACCAGTGGATTTTTAAGTTGTAAAGAACCTCAGAGACCATCTTGGGCCCACTGTCATGCTTCTGATTACTTGAATATAGAAATATAACTTATACTTTCGTTTTTGTTGTTCATGTCATGCAGGTAAGTGGATAGCTGAATACTAGGAACTTCGATTTTAAATATAATTAGGACCCTTAGAAATGCAGCTTGTTTAAAAATGGACCAAAGTTTAAACAAAATGGGCAGCTGACATATTGCAGTTCCTAAAGAAAATTTATAAGGAAAAGTAGTTTTTACTTTGCAGCTTTTAGTCTTAGAGAAAAGGCTTCATCATTTTATACGTGATGTGGCTTTCTGGGCTGCTGGCATCTTCATAGAATTTGACGGGCACTTCCTTCTCTTGAAAATGAATTGGCATTTTCTTGCTCTCCACACGCATGAGCTTCACTTTTAGGGGGCCCAAGTTTACATAATCCTATGGAGAACAGATACAGAAGAGAATAGGAGAGGTTACCAGCTTCAATAGATAAGGCTCCCTTTATCTGACAGGTTTCATGGCCCTCTTCATTGCCTGAGTGCTGTATAACATGAAATATGAGAGCCACTAAAAATAAAAGCCACTCTGTAAACTTAGATACCCAGGGGGGCATGGTCTCCCAAAGAGCAGGCAGCCAGTCTGGCAAGGCCTGTCTTTCAGGGGGTTGGGTGGAGGAGGGGCCCCAGCCAGAGCAGGGAGATATATTCTCTGCAAGGTCCTTAACTGGTAAAAGAAAATGTGGGCTATATATAGGATGTAACCACAGCACAGTTTTCTATATTATTCAAGAACAAAGGGAAAGACCTGCAAACATCACTTTGACTATTAATATTCTAACATTGAGCAAATTCTTTATGAATTTTGCCCTTTTCACAGGACCTTTGGCTGCTGTATAAATAGAACTTATCATATTCTGCCAAACTAACTATAGTTTAAGATCTCAACAAACAGAATTAGAACTCTAATTTATGTGAAATCCCACAGCCACCCCCAAACAGCTCAGGCCCTACCTAACGTGCTTTCCTCTTGGGAGCTTTCCCAAGTCATGTTTTCTTTTTAATTCCTTCAACACTTCTTTTGAATTCCTTCAACAAACCTTTCCTGAGTTCCCACCATGTTCCAGGCTGTGTATCAAGTGCTGGGCGCAATGATAGGCTCACAGACTGGTCAGAGAGGCAGCCACCGGTGATACATTCCTCTAGCACAGTAATTAATGATTTTCTTATCTCTCTTCTATTAGCTTGTAAGGGATCTGAGGATGGTGCCTGCCATCTAGGCATCTTTGAGACTTCATTTCATCCTGTTCTCCCCCTGAAATTCCCAAGCATCTAACACGTACCTGGAGTGTTGCGGGAGTCTCAATAAACATTGATTCAAATTTAGGAATATCAAAAAATGAAAAAGGAAATCGATGTTTTGTTACTCAAAAATGCATATAACTGTATTCAGTTTTGAAAGTATATAATTATAGAACTATACTAAATGTAAGAGAGGAGAAAAGCAAATTGATAGACATCTACCACATAGTTCAGAATCTTCATACACTGTGTTAGTCTGCTCAGGGTGTCATAACAAAATACCATAGACTAAGGGGCTTAAACAACAGAAATTCTTCTCTCACAGTTTTGGAGGCTGGGAAGTTCAAGATCAGGGTGCCAGCATGATTGGGTTCTGGTGAGAGCTCTCTTCCCGGCTTGCAGATGACTCCCTTCTTGCTGTGTCCTCACAAAGTGGAGCCTATTCTCATAAGGCCACAATCTTATCAGATTAGGACCCTATCTTTATGACCTCACTTAACCTTAATTAACTCCTAAAGACCCTATCTCCAGATATAGTCACATTGGGTGTTTGGGCTTCAACATAGGAAATGGTGGGGCAGGAAGATGTCATTCAATCCATAGCCTACACAATGCCATTTTTACCACATCAAAAACTTCTAAGTAAAAAGGTTTTTCATTCAACCAAGTGGTATCCAATTTTAGAATTTTGTAGACAATTGTCCACTTGAGGTCATCAAAACATACTAAGTGTCATGATTCCAAGGCACTCATGGGGGTGTTTGAATGCTATAGGGACTAGATCTTTAGTCTTTAAACTGTTACTCGATGGTGGCAGGACTGAGTTGTAGTTAGTTAAAATGATCTTTGTTGATTTAATCAGTTTCTTCTGCTTTCCTATATCACTTTTTTTCATAAAAAACTAAGTTCTAGGAGAACTTTTTAAGTTATTGGTAATACCAAGAAGGAAAAGAGCAAGGGGTCAATGTGGGGGTAACTATAATGTACCAAAAGGTTTTAAATAAAAAAGCTTGGCCCTGACTGGCATGCTCAGTGGTTAGAGCATCAGCCCATGCACTGAACAGTCACAGGTTTGATTCCCCATCAAGGGCACATACCTGGGTTGCAGGTTCCCCACCCCTGATCGAGGCGCGTGTGGGAGCTAACCAGTTGGTGTGGCTCTCTCACATCGATGTTTCTCTCTCTCCTCTCTCTCTCTATCTCCCCCACTCTCCTCTCTCTCTTCTACTCTCTCTAGAATCAATGGAAAAAATACCCTCCGGCAAGGATTAACAACAACAACAAAAGGCTTGAATATTCCAGGTTCCATTCAATGGTATATATATGGCAGTTTGTACTTTCCAAAGATGTCCAAGCTAATATATATCCTTTTATATATATATATCCTTAATATATATGCTTTTCTGACAATGTGATGCCAACCTTCCTCTTTCAAGATGTATGAACTACATTGCCTCCACTTGGGTGGAACTTTGTAACTACATCAACCAATAGATTATGAGGGAAGGGATGGTGTATGATTTCTAAGGCTAAGCCATGCAGAACATTGCAGCTTTTGTCTTAGTCTCTGGGATTGCTTGCTCTTGGAGAAGCCAGACGCCATAACAAAGGGCCAATAAAAGTGCCTTGTGGAGAGGCCTGTGAAGAGGAACTGAGGCCCCCAGCGTAGTCAGCATCAACCTGCCAGCCATGTGAGCGAGCCACCTTGGAAAGGGGTCCTCCTGCCCCCATCAAGCCTTCAGATGACTGCAGCTCCAGCCAACATAGGACTGCAACTGCCTGAGTGTTCAAATGAGAACTGTCCATTGGAGCCCTTCCTGAATTTCCTAACCAACAGAAGCTCTGAAAGAAAATAAATGATTATTGTTATAAGCCATTGAGTCTGGGGGTAATTTGTTATGTATTATTAGATAAAATATATGGTACACTAGCAATGGAGGTGTATAAATGAATATAGGTAGCAAACTGGGCAAGGCTAGGGGTAAAAATAGTATCCAATGAGATGTTAATGGTGGGCACATTTTACCCGTAATTGCAAATAGAATTTTTCAATATCCGTATTGTAGGTTAATTTTCTCCAATAATAAAACAGCATTATCTTAGTAGTCAAAATTGTTTATTAATCTTACCTTGAAATCCTGCTCATCCTCATAGAGTAAATATTTCATGTCAGAAGCCACAAACTTTGTAAATGAGCTCTCTCTGTCTGTGTTTAGCTGCTGGTCAGATATGATGCTGTCCTCTTGACTAAGGGGTAAAGCACCGATCTCAATTGATGAGCTCTCCGTGTCTCTAGTTTCTACTTCTACGGGTTCTGATTTTGACTTTTCTAGGATGAGTGAAAAGAAATTAATTATGTATGTATTTTAGACAGATAAAATTAAACTACAATACATACTTTGTCACATTTTTAATTTGAAAGACCACTGAGAATCTCTTGGAGGAGATGAATTTGAGAATTAGAAATGTAGAATCTGTGTATTAAAGTGAGGACAAGCCCCATTTTCAGACACTATCTGAGCTGCATTTCCTTCTGTTGGCTGTTAAGTTACAGTAATCATGGGAAGATTTGTGTGTGTTGGTATTTTAGTTGGTTGGCCAAAGTGGAAACCACACCAGAGTAGAAAACAGTCCGTCTCTTTCCAACAGTATCTATTTAATTCCCTGTGAAACATGGTGGCTTTGACTTGGAAACAGGACCAGTGCTGTGAGAGGAAGAGTGTGGAGGGGCTGGCAGGTATCTCTTCCCTGAATATGCATCTGTTCCTTGGGCATGAGGTGCCTGTCCATAATAGATGCTCAATAATGTTGTTTTTTCTTAACTTGCCATTACAATAAAATAATACCTGTACGTATTTCTGGCACTTTTTCAGGCGGCTCTTCCTGCCCAGCGGCTTGGGTAAGATACAGGCGCCTGAAGGAACAAATAAGAAAAGCAGCCTGTCAGTCAGCAAGTACTGTGCCACCTGCTCACTAGTGTCTGCGTTTCTTCTGGGTGCTGGAGACACATAGATGAAAATGAGACACAGTTTCTGCCCTTGAGGAGGGTATAGGGCCCAGCGGGGTGGCAGGCAGGCTTGCGGTATTTTAGGGTGAAGGCAGCACCATGCTGGGTAGTGAGCGTAGTGTGAGAAGTGCTGCGGGCGGAGAGAAGCAGCACCTGGTTCAGCTTTAGGAAGGGGGGGCTGGTTTCCCGGAGAATATAAAACCTGAGCTGTGTCTTGAAGAGCCAAGGGCTGTTTGCCAGGGAGAGCTTGGGGCGAAGGGAGGGCATTTCATGATCAGGGAATAGCACACTGAAAGTCCCAGAAATGAGAGTGAGCAAGACACCAGTCAGGTGGCTGCCATAGGAATCCAGGTGAGAAATGCCAGTGGCCTGAGTGGGGCGGCTTGAAAATGAAGAGGAGGAGAGAAAGAGCGAGCAGGAGGAACCCCAGCTGACGTGGGGGCTCTGGCGTCCGCCGAGTGGCACGTTTCAGCTGCGGCCTGCGAGTCGCTCTGCTGTTGCAGCTTTCTGCGCATGTGCTTAACTCCGCTCCCCTTTTCAGATTCCCACGGAATTTTCAATCAGAAAAGATATGCCTTGACAGCTCCGGATGGCATTTCCATCAGGTTTGCCTGAAGACGGCAGGAAGCAATTGGACCCTTAAGATATGCGAACAGCCCCTCGCGCTTAGCAGCTTGGCAACCAGAGTGAATCCCCTGGTTTACACCCTGCCAGTTATTTAAAGAGCACGAATAAAGTATTACTCAAAATGCTGAAGCCTCCAGAAAATAATGCAACTACATACAATATTTGTATCTGTAAAACCTTCTTAAGGCCTACCTAGTGAAGGTTAGCTTCATATGTAGCTTTGGTCTTCAAGTAGAGGAGTCCGAGGCCATAGAATTCTCTTCTTTTCTAGTTTTACCATTTAGAATAACTAAGATTTTACTAAATGCCATAGCCTTCATACATCTGGCTTCTCTCTTAATCATTAGTTTATTGTCACTTTTGTATGGCCATAGGCCAGAGGCACTTGATATTTAATGATATAGAAAATACTTTAAAGAATGTTATTGTACGAAGTCAGGTTGGATAGATTTGTAGGCATTAGTCCACTTCGCTTCAACTGTGTGGCACTTCAGTTCCTGGGTAGTCACCTCTGGCTGACATTCACCTCATCTAATGAGCAAACACTATGACCTTCTATGTGAGTTGTGAAGGGAAGGAGTTGAGGGAGCTCAGGCTGGGAAATGTACCAACTCTATTAGCTGGCACAGCCCATTCTTCATCCGCATGAGAAAACAGAACTTTTTATATGTCCACTGAGGACAGTTGATGCCTACTTCTCAGCGCCCTTACTAGTATTATTACACGGGACTGAATTCTCAACAGAAGAGGTGGAAAGGTGGTTACTATAAAATATACAGTGTGTATTTTATTTCTTTGACTTGAAAATGGGTACAGTAACAGCTCCTGAGTATATGGAAAGCTTTCCTCTGGATAAGAAGTGTAACAGATAATTGACGGTTTACATGTTCCTCTGTTTCTTTATGGAGGTTTTTCTAAAATGCCCTAAAAAGTTGTCTCGAGGGGCTTAAAGTCCAGCAAGGAAGCAGACATTAAAGAAGGAGTCGCCAGTGTGGTAGATGCCGGTTACAAAGGAAAAGCTCAGGGTGCAGCTGCGTACACTGGGGCACCTGACCCAGCTCTTACAGATGCCTCCCTACTGTTTCTTTTTCCTTGGGGGGATTTTAATTTAATCTCTCCCAACTCTGAAGCAAGACTCATGTCTCCCACTGAAGAAAACCAACCCACAGGGCCCTGATGAACAATGTGGATTCTACTGAAGATTGTTGTGGGGAAGACAGAGGGGAGGGAGAAATTGCATATGACGCAGCAAACAACTTGCAAATCCTCATTAAAAAGCTTCTCATCTCCTTTCCTCTCCTTGCCAAGTTTCCTCTGGCCAATGAAAGAATTCCCCTCTGTTAGAGTCAGCGCGTCACAGTCCTGTCGGCACCGGCAGATACAGCCGCCGAGCTGGCGAAGCAGGACACGGGCTGGCAGTGCACGGGGAGCTCTTTTCTCAGGTTTGGCTGGTTCGGAAAAGAGGACAGTGAACAGCAGGTAGAGCTGGCCCGGCGGTTGAGCACTGGCCTGTGAGCAAGAAGGTCAAGGTCCAATCCGGGGTCAGGGCACAGGCCTGGGCTGCGCTCGATCCCCAGCGGGGGGCATGCAGGAGGCAGCCGATCGATGCATCATCATTAATGTTTCTTTCTCTTTCCCTTTTCCCTCTCCCTTCCTCTCTCTGAAATCAATAAAGATATATTTTTTAAAAGGTCAGTAAGAGCAGATAGCAACGATTAGAGGCGGGGCAGGCGTGTGGGGCTGGAGACTGAGCCTAGAGAGGAGGGCAGGCAAAAGAGAGCATTGCCTGGTGGGGGACAGGAAGGCCCCCACCTCCTAGGGGCCTCAGGGGCATCAGCTTAAGAGTCTGGAGATACAGGAGCTCACCAATCAACTAATCCGTTCAGCTTGACTGCCTGCCTCACCCCCAACAGCACGTACCTCTCCAGGGCAGCACAGGCCAGCTGTGGAGAGGAGGCAGGCGGCTCTTGCTCCGTCCTGCCCCACCCAGCTTTCACCCCGTGAAGTAGCTGCACTGTCTCCCAGTTTCTCCAACCTTGTATCCTGACACCTGTCACTTAACCCAGCAAACACAAACCCCACAACTTACCTGCATCCACCCTTTTTGGGATACATTAGGAAGTTTGTAAGCAACGAATACTTTGTTATGACTCAACTAGTATTTTTCCGTGCCACACAAGCCACAGGAACGACTTGAGTGGAAATGGCTTCCTGGCTCTTCCACTCTGTTGAACTTCTCTGCTTTCATTCCTAGACCCGGACGTGTCCCTCCCATCTTGCACATGTACACCTTACATTGTGTAATTCATTTCCCCTCTCTCCCTAAACATGCTACTATTTAGATGATTTCTTGTTTCTGACTACTCGTTCAAATTATGAATGCCTCTTTGAGTTTTAATTCCAGGGCCCCGATTTTCCATCAAGGTTGTTATACAAAGACTTCTTTGTCAGGTAAGAAAGAGATAACCTAAAATACAAAGCCATGTACATGTGTGGTTTCTCTTGTACAGGAATCGATGTGACTTTGAATGCCAGGCTATTTACTCTTTCACCAACTATCAAAGGAAACAATTCTATATTCTACAAGGCAGGGAGAAGCCCAGAACTCTTCCAGGAAGCTGCCACGAAACTGGCCACGCCCTCCTTTGGGCTAACCCCGTACCTCACACACCTTCCCCTGCACTGCTTTGCATTGATTTTCATGCTCATATTCCCGGCTGGCCTGGAGGCTTCTGAAGGTCTGCAGCTGTGACAGTCACAGTAAGTGCTTGCTATTATGACTGCAGTGTACTGCCAGGAAAAGCAAGTCAAGGTTTGCACTGTACCAATGGTTACTTGTCACAATCGTATACCTTTACCACAGCCATTCTGCGAGTCCCTTCCTTTTCAACTATTGCAATCTGGCTGGAGCACTGAAGAATTAAGGCATCTTTAAAAATAGCTTTTATAGACGCAAAGGTTTATAAAATACTTTTTAGATGTGTTAATACATTTCACCTGGGTATTTTGAGATCCACAAGTCTACAGTTGAATAGTTGATCAATGAGCACCAAATTTTCTTCTTCCAGTTCGTGAATAGCTTTTTCCAATACTTCAACTTCCTTCCTGTGATTTGCAATCTGTTCTCAGGGGAAGAGAATGGATGATTGGTACTTACTTAGTTCTACTTAGCCTTCTATAAGAAATTCCACTCCTAAGAGTGCTTTTGCCTGAGAGGACAATCTATCCTGTATTGTTATTACTGGGTTTGCTTTGCCCTTCCTCTCTAAAGGGAACAGGTGGGACTCTTTTCCAGGTCATTTGCAGAACATGTTTGTAGGGCTAGGCATTTATTACTGAATGGCAAGAGTTGGCCTTTCCTACTCTCTCAAAACATCATAAGACTCACAGATGAGGCTAGAGGCAGAGATAAATAAGAACATAAGACTAATTAATTTATCAGTGTGGTATATTAATAGCTAAATGAGGATCTATATAAGGTTAATTTCAAACAACACAGAAAACTAAAAACACTGGAAAACAATAGTAAATTACAGCATTTTTAAAAAGAGAAGTACAGTCCTAAAGCCCTTTCTATCAGCCTCTATAATACAATTTTCTTTTATTGCTGGGGTTGTTCTGAGAAACATCAGGTAGATGGATAGTGTTCATTCGTTTGTTCATTCAGTTGTGTTGTGTGCCTACTATGTGCCAGAAACTACAGTACACTTTGGGAAAAAGGATCAGTGAGATAAAATAGCCTTCAAATATCCCTTAGCTTTGTGGGGAAGATGGTAATAAAAACAGAAAAGAGTGTGATAAAACCATGGGAAGCTGCCCAGGTGCTGTGGGAGGAGACAGAGGTTCAGCCTATGTCAGCTGGGTGTCAGTGATGGGGGTGTGGGGTCCTGAGGGAGAATTAGCAGAAGAGATGACATCTAATCCGTATCTTGAAGGCCATGGAGGGATTCCCTAGGCAGAGAGGAGAGTGCACATTCTAGGCAGAAGGAACCACACATGTGAAGGCACAGTTATTTCGGCGTGGACAATACAGAGTGGGAGTTGGGAGAAGTAGGAGAGGAACTGTACAATGAGAGAAGAGGCGAATCATGCTGAAGAGTCTGGCTTTTGTATTGCAGGTGATGGAGGGTCATTGATAGATGTAGCAGGTTTAATTAACAGTAAGAAGTATGGCTGACTCTACCCACAAAATTTGCCAGTTACCTTGATATAGCTATCAGTTTTTAATAGGTGTATGTTGATAACTTCTGTCTAAAGGAGGCTTGTTGGTGGAAAGAATATACAGAAAAATGTTACTAGATAGAATCCTCAACTCACCTCTCTCCCTCCCCAAGCTGGAAAGACTAATGTGTATTGAGGAAGCAGGAGACAGGAAAGGCTCAGGGGTTTAGATTCAGCATCTGTTAGGAGTTGCCAAGAGTGTAACTGACATGAGCGCTTAGAAAGAGATGGCTAACATTTTTGGTTTGTAATTGAGATTTAATTATTGTATTTTAGAATCTGGAGGCAGTCAGTGCATTATCACATGCATACCTCTATGCCATAAGTCATTCATTAAATGCTTGGATTCTCACTATGGCAAGGCTCTGTGCTAGATGCAGAAGGATACAAAAGTGAATCAGGTGTGGCTCCTTCTCTCTAAAGAGTCTACAGTCCAGGGAACAAATATGCAACTAATGATAATATACAACAATGCCTTGGCATCGTAAAGGCTCAAATATTGCTGGTGGCTTGGGGTTAGAAAGAAGGGCACGTATTATCCACCTGCCTTAAACAATTTAGCAGAACCATTAAGTCCATAATACTCAATTACAAAGCTGGGGGTTAGTGCTTCAGGATCTGGTATGTTGAGAGAGAATCGGCTTGATTACAAGCTTGAATGCCTTAAAGAAAAGTTTACAATTTTTAAATGTCAAAGGATGAGAAAAAATATGAAGTTATAAACAGAAGGAATTAATAGAACATTTGGAAATGTTTGACCCAAGGGCTTGGCATGCTTGGGAGGCAGCACACACAGTTCTTGGGTTCTTTCCAAAGCTGGGGATGAGGGCCCTTTCGGGGAGTTAAGTCCAGTCTTTCAAACTAAGGATATCCTGTGACATCACCTACCCCTTTAGAGTACTAAGTAAGGTTCTCGTAAGCTGTTATCTCCTTCCCAGCCTTTTGAAATGTTAGGAAAACGAAAACTAGTTCCTTTTATAGCCAAGTAAATACTTTTAGATTTTCTGGGGTAAGGAAGTGAAAGGAGGAAGTAGGCCAACTTTCCCAACCCTGCTCTTCCCCAAGTACCCAAGAAATGTACCTAAGAAATTGAGATAGATAAGTTAGTTAAAACTTAATAGTTAATAATTTAGTCAGGGACCTAGGATTTTGAATAAAATGTATGCTCTTGCAATTTTCCGCTGCAAGATCCAAGTTAGATTTATAACTCTGATTGCTGACGTGTTTGAATAGCTTTGTCTAGTTTTCCTGGCTTTCCATTTAAGTTAGTCTAAGTCATTTAGAAATTTCAATTTTCTCCATTTTCCTAAAAATCAGGCTAAATAAAACCAGATAATGAAAGTCATGCAACAGGATGTTTCATATCCTTCCCAGAAATCTAAGTGTTTGGTTACTGTTGAGAGAGCGTTAAATGGAGAAGTATTTTCAGGAGGTTAAACAGCTCTGTTACTCATTCAAAATCTTCCTCAAAGAAATGAATTTCTCTAATGAATTAATTAATTAGAACACATGCATTGTTCTATATCCAGGCAGTTTTCAATTCTTGTGATAGTACTTATAACCAGAAATGGTTTAAATTAATCTCATAAGTAAATTTAATAACACTAAAATTAATATTTATTGAAATAAAGATAAATTAAATCTATTAAATTTCCTTTAAATGATTTGTCCTTTATTACTAAGCTCTTTTTGTTCATGATTCAATTAAACTTGACATTTTTTTCTGTCTTTTATTTCCACTGAGTTACGAGAAGTGAAAAAGAAAAGAAAATGGAATGCCACTTGTGGCTTTGGTTGGGAGGGTCATGGCACCAAATGGCCCTTCTTAGCAGTCAAATATAATTTTTATAATTATTTTCTCTAAACCTAATATCTATGATATCTTACAAAAGATTTGAACTGTTAAATTATTATTATTAGGATCCTACTGTTGATTTAATAAAAGTACTAAATTTCTCCCTAATATTTTTTGTAACTATTGAGATCATCTTAAGTTTTTTAAATGAATACTTTTAAGAAATTGAAATTGTTTAACCATTTTAGAGTGGTCAAAACACAAATAAGATTGGTATCTTGGTGTCCAAAAGCAATAATTTTACTATATGCATTTTAATCTTTCATATCATTCATTTTAAGTTGATGGTTAATTTAAAAACTGAATTTTAATCAAAGCTGTTTTCAAACATTGTCATAATACTGCTTTGAAGGGTCATATCAATGGTGCCAGGCATTGCTTCTCTCCTCCACTCTTGCTCTGTCTCCCCTGCTAAATGAAGGTCTTTGAGGAGCCAGAGTTTGCATTTTATCTTGTTTCCAGTGACTGCTGATGTCCTTTCTCTTCTCCTCCAAGGCACTTGTTTTGCATCTTATTTGAAAGAGATTCTAGTGTTAAGCCAGCATCCCTCTGATTTTCTTGAAATAGCTCCCAATACTTTCTATTCTGTTCCAGGTGCTTCTTGTGTTCGAGCTTTTACTTTCTCTTCTATTGCTGCTTTTCTAAACTGGTGGAAGAGGTCTCATGAGGATTTCAGCACACCTGAAATTTTGCCTGGTTTGCCTAAGCTTTTCCAAGAGTCTGCATTCTTGATCCTTACATCCTTCTGCACAGGAACTTGACCTTCAGGTTCTAACACCATTGTGTCATCACCAGTGAGGCCATTCAAGCCTTGTTCAGAATAGCCCGAGGAGGCAGGATTTGTAAAGGTGAAATGTTTTTCACACTCTGCAAATGTTTCAGTTCTTGATGCTTAACTGCTAACTGGTGGTGATTTTGGCCTTGTTCCACTTGAAGGAGTAAAACAAGAGATTGCATCTTGCATAGACGATTGTCTCTTTCCTTTCTTTCTAAAAGAATCATTCTGTTTTACTCCAGTAAATTCAAGTGACATTTCTGATTTGGAATCACTGCTGTCTGAAGAGCTTGAATCTGCTACTGCTTTCAGACTCGGATGAGCTGCTGCTGCTGCTTTCTCTCCATGGGAACCACTTCCAACAGCCTTGGATGACTGAGTGTTCTCAGATTTTGTTTTACATTTTCTGGAATTTAGCTGATTGTTGACATTCCAGTAACTGCTTTTCCAACTCCTGTTTTTTTCTGTGAAGGAAGTTCTTCTTTGGTTTTCATTATTTTCTTACCGTGAGGTTTTAGTGACCTTTTTCTTAGACATGCAGCAACATATTTTCTAGCTCTCTCAGTGTTGTTTTCAAGGCCTATCTACCTCATCAGGGTTGGAATTTCTCAGTGAAGGCTCTCTTGGTTGTATTACATGAACAACTCTCCCAAGTTTATCTCCAGGGAGGAGTTTGTTTATATCCAGACTTAACTGCCTTTTCTATGATAGCTCATAGGTTTAGCATTATCTTCATCCTCAGGTTTCAGAACCAAAACCTGCTGTTTCCTCTTTGGCTGATTGCTCTTGGACTTTTCCTTTAATTTCATTTGCTTAAACTTTTTCCTTGGATTTTCGTCTCTGTTATTTAACCTTTTCTCTTTTCTTTTCCCTTTTAGAATTCTTTTGTTTTAGCGTATGGAAGGGTACTTAAAACACCTAACGGTACTTGGGTCGGAACCTGTACTTGTTGAACAGCCTTAAGCTGCTCCTGAAGCTTTGCAAGGCGCTGAACTCATGCATCTGCAGAATCACCAGAAGAGTCATCTTCAGAGGAAGCCTTACTACCGCTTTCTCGACCAAGCGACTTTTGTGGTATTTCTTTTGATGTTATATACAGACATGTTCTCAACAGGTTCATCTGGGATCTTTGCATAATGCATTTCAAAAACATCCTGGAGCATTCTTGCCATTGCCGCTACTTCATGATCTAGAGGACTGTATTCGTAGCAATTCATGAACATTAACATCTGCAGCAAATTCATATGAATCTTTCTATTCTCCATTGTCCATTTTTCTCTCGGTAGTTACAAGATCCATTGGATTTTTTGCAGTATCATTGTAGTTAGGGAGGCCCAACACATTAACGTCAACAGGATGATAGAAGAGCCATGCATGTGAAAAGTGCTTCTTGGCAAGATTTCTTTAAGAATCTCACTATAGTGCCTTTATATTGTTGCTGAGAATCTGGCAAATCATTCTTCAGCACAGCTTCTTTTATGGGTGATTTTGCTGATTTTCCCCCCCTGTAAGTGCTGGGGGACATTCACCTCTTGCTTTAACTACTGAAGCTGTAGGAGGTGCATCTGCTTTCCTCTTCACAGCCCTTGTAACCTGAGCCACTGTTTGTGAGGTAAAGTTGGGTGCATCACCTTGTGACACATTTGAAGGAGAAATAGATGTTTCAGAAAATACAAGGGGACAAACTTGCTGCTTAAATACCTTTTCCCGATGCTTTAGGGGGACTTTTCTGTAACAGGAGAAACTGCTAATATCCTGTTGAGTGCCTTTCTTTATTCTTTCCTTACCACCCACGACTTGCTCTTCTTGTGGCATCTGAAATAATCTCCACTCAACAACCTCTCTAGAGCTTGTGTCGTAAGAACAGTGTCATCTCCAGGCCTGTTGTATAAATAACAGTTTGAGAACACCATGTTGAAGTCTTCTCTACATTCTGCAGCCTGCGCGTATCATTTATGTTCTAAGTGCTTCTTAGTTGTACTTACATCCATTGGGTTCTTTATAATGGTCTAATAATCAGGCAACTTTAGTGTCACAGCATCCACAGGCTGCTGAAAAGGCCAATAAAAACTATGCTTTCATAAACCTTTTTGTAGATACTGCAGTTGATTTGTCAATCGCCTGTTTCTCTTAGTTTTTATATACTCCGGTGGCCGAGGGTTAACAATAGCTGTTTGTCTACTTGGCAGAGATGGTCTTAAATGTTTCAAATCCTATATTCTAACGTTGTCTATAAGTACATGTCCTTTTTCTATACAAGTGCTAAAATTGTTTCATTATGTATGCCTTAGTTTTCAATGATTTGTTATTTCAATCTTTCATAGTATTTCTTTCTGCCTTTCTAAAACACAAATAGAGGTCCCGGCAGAAAAAAGCCTGTAAGTTTCTCTTGTGAAAAGGACCTTGTGTGGCCGTCCCCTTTAGCTTGCCCAAGACCAAGTGGTGCAGGGCCTAGATTCTCCACTGTCATCCCCCGCTGGCTCTCACATGAAGGGCGGCTCAAATTAATGCTTATTTTTAAAAACTGGGGATTCATCTTGATTCAGTTTTGGAAATAGTATGGACCATGACTTTATAAAGGCAATTTAAAAATAATTGTCAACATCATAGAAAGCATATTAATTTTTAAATTCCTTGCTTTCTAGACTCACTAACTCTATTTGGTCAAATAGGGAGCAAGGAAAAGAGAAAAGGAGAGAAGATGACAGTGACATTTTTACTTCAGGTATCTGAGCAGATGGTGCAAAAAGAAATACAAGAAGAGAAAATTTAAGGAGAAATTTACTGAGTTCTGCTTTAGCTATGTTGAGTTTGAAGTGCCTTTGGGACATCCAAGTGGAACTATTTGGCAGGCAAATTAAAATGCAGGTCCAGAGCTAAGGACACACGTTAGTGCTCAAGATGCACATTTGAGAATCACATACAAATAACTTGCTACCAAGAGCTGTGTGTAGTTGAAGTGAATTCTCTCAAAAGATAGTGAATTTTCTTTCACAGATAGCATCTAAGCATAGATTTAGGGGCTACTTGTCTGGGTATAAAGGGAATTTCAAAGTATGGTAGTGAGTTTTGCACAACCTCTGTAGCACTCTTGTAGCGCCTAAACCAAAGATTATGTGCCCTTTTCATCCAACAACATGCTCTCACATCTTCACTCAAGACTTAAGCCATATATTTGATTCATTCCACCAATACATATATCTGTACCCATGGACATTCTTTCATTCAATAACCCTTTAATGAGCACATATTATTTATTAGGTTTCAAGGATATACAGTTGAAAAGTCATAGCCTGCTCTGTGCAGTGAAGAGACAGATGCATAAACAGATAATTTCAACATATTTTGTAAAAGCAAGAGTTACAGTGAAACAAGAGAGCACTGGGGCGAAAGCACTTAAGATTTCCTGGGGGACTTACAAAATGATTCACAAAGAAATGGACAATCAAACGCCTAAAGGAAGAATTGTTTTCCGGGCAGATGAGGGCAAGGAGCTAACCGCAGAGGGACTCACATGTGCAGGGCGAGGAGAACAGGGAAGGGCCCCATAAAAAAGGTCTAGAGGTCTTCTCAGGATCACTTCCAGCACGAGCAGTAGTGTGGCCCCGTTATAGGGAGACCGATGGACAGCTGGGCCCACTGGTTCCCGCAGGCTCTCCAGAAGGAGGTGTGACGAGGGCCTGAGGACCAAGCTGGGACGGGATGCATAGAATGCAGTGGGCAGGGACATCTTGGCCATTGGCAAACAGCTGTAACTGTGGGCTTGGTGTTGGCTGCCACACAATGTCCAAAAGGCCAGAGCAGTCTAAAGCACTCCCGGTGCAGCAGAAAGGCAGAGGGAGCAGGGATCCGAAGGAAACCCCATAGGTCTGAGCCCTTTTTACTAACGCTTCCCACAAGAGGGCATGTGAGCCCCACCTCTCTATACGTCCAGGGTCCACCTTTGAGAAGGGCAGGGGGAAGAAAGAAAATCTAAAGGACTGAACATTTATCTGAAGGAGGCCATGTTATCCCCAAGGGGCAATTTACAACAGCAGACAATGAGGTCAGAGTGATCCTTTAGCCTGGCTCTCATCACCCAGGAGGAAGTGGGGTCCCGAGGAAGACCAGATCAATTGTAGGGCATAAAGAAGCTTTGTACGTTTGAGTATATTTTGTAAATTGTGATGCCAAAAGTGATTTCTGGTTATTATTGAAATTATTTATGGTATCCGTTGAGTAACTGTGTGTAATAAGATTAAGACTCTACTTGAATTTTATTTTACCTCATTTAGTGACAGTTCCATGCTTTCCCCATGACTTCAGCTCATAAATAAAAGTCATTTCCAATTAAAAAAAAAAAGAAATTGTTTCGAAACAGCCCACTCACCTCCTTTTTCAGCCAGTCGTTCTCCCAGATCTCTCGGCAGCTGCCCTTGTCGATGAGCCTTACTGCATTCTGGAAGAAAGCCCCACTCAGCTTTAGCAATGCTGAAGCACAGTCAACTTATCTGGTCGTTCCTTTTAAATTATGTTTTGCAGATACTTTGGAAACATACCAAAGAACATCTGTTCGGTTGTTCTTTACTATCCTACTGTACAGTGGTTACTGATTTGCACTGCCTGATACGGGCAACTCAGAGAACTGGACAATGGCTGTCCATTCAGAGTAGCCTCTATTGTGACCGAGTCCGACTGCCATGGTGAAATCAGATCACTAAGTGGTCTGCTCCACAGCTGAGACGGCTAACCTGCAGTGACCGAGCGTTCTTCAAGTTTATGGTCAAAGACATACTCCAACATATAGCAAAAGCACGGATAACTACATGACTACCTTTCCAATTTGAAAGATTTCTGCATGTTAGTAATAATAATACTATATATTTACAAACCTAACAGCAAATAGTTTCAGATTGGTAGGCAATAGCTAGACAGTTTCCCAGAAAAAGGCTTTTTATTTTTCATTTTAATTTTTTTAATATGTCTTTATGGATTTCAGAGAGAGAAAGGGAGAGGGAGAGATAGAAACATCAATGATGAGAGAGTCATTGATCGGCTGCCTCCCGTATGCCCCCCCAATGGGGATCGAGCCCACAATTCAGGCATGTGGAATTGAACCCCGATTTCATGGATCATAGGTCAACACTCAACCGCTGAGCCATACTGGCCGGGCGAGAAAGGCATTTCAGATAAGCAAAATGGGAAAAGCCTTACTTAATAGGTTCATAAAATGTAAATTCATTTTTAATTACTTGGATATTTATAGTTTCACCCAAAGGAATATTGTAGTGGATGACAGATCATATTTATCTGTAAGGTACTTTTAAATGGATACCATGTTACCAATACAATATTCAGCAACTAAAGGGCACAACGAAAGAAGAAAGATTAGGAAAATCTTCTACATAGTTCATAAACATAATTTAAAAATATGTTAAGGGTAAATTTATTCCCTAGAGTCCGAAGATTTGCAATAATAATATTTTCTTTAAACCAGGCTTGTAAAACTAAGAGTGGACCTACATTTCCTAGGAACCAGGAACTCATATACTCCAGCTACAATGGACACTTCTCAAGTTTCCTCAAACATAGAATTTAATTTCATTTGGACAAAAGTAGGAAGTAGCTCATAACTGAATTGATTTGGCTAATGGCTTAATTCACTAACAATGGAGCAGTGGTTTTCAACTTTGACCACACATTAGGCTCTCCCAAACACTTTGAAAAATTCAGAAACCCTGGCAACATCCCAGGCCAATGATATGAGCAGCAGTATGAGTAGGACTCGGGCATCACCTGGGTTAAACAAATTTCTCAGGTGATTCCAATATGCAGCCAAGGATGTGCAACAGTGGACTATAGGAAATTAAACTGTGTGCTAAAATAGGCAGATTAAATGAGGAACATTCACTCACGTGTGTGGGTGTTTGGTTATGCAGAGAGAAGAAAATGTGTAGTATAATGATTAAGAGAGATGATCCAAAGGAGACACCTTGAATTGAACCTCGAGTCTGCCACTTGCTCTGGGCAAGTCACAGAATTTCTCTGTGCCTCAGCCTTCTCATTAGCAAGTCCCTACTTTACAGAATTGTTGAGAGACTTAGATGTAAAATGCTAGGAACAGTAAAACAGTCCTCATTATATATTGAACATGGATACCGAAAACATATTTGATCTACATATACATTTTTAATCATCTTAACTATGGCCAGGTCACTTAATTGTTGATTCCACCATTTCGTCATATTCAAAGTGGCCCAGTTGCGTAGGCAGACAAGCTGTTGTCAGTTTTCCATAATCCTCTGCATTTGTGTAAATCAGTAAAAAGCATACAGTAGGATAACAACAGTAAAGGAACGACTGAACCAACAGGGAGGCAACAAACAGTTGCTACTGAAACTCAGTGAAGAACTTTAGAAAACACCAGACATTTATGATTCTGAAGAAGGAATGTTCCAGGTGAAGAGACAATCCCAGTGGGGACTCACTGATTTAGGAGATATTCTGGGGACAAGGGAAGGACAGTAAAAAAAAAAAAGTAGAGAAGAGATATTTTTTTGCAAAACAAAGAAATTAGAAAACACATAAGATTAGAAATTATATCTCAAATTTTTTTTATATTCCAAATTTTTAATGCTCCAGCAATGTAAAGTATACTCTCTTAGGTTTGGATATGTAAGAAAGCACTTTTTAGGCAAGTTACATTTCATTCTATAATTCATCCACTTTATTTAATAACATATTGTAGCCATTATTATTATACTTAAAAATAAATGAGTAATAATTTACTGAGTTCTTGCCCCTTGTGAGGCACTAGGCTACTTAGGTCATCTCACTCAATCCTCATTATTCTCTAAAGGCAAATATTATTTCCCCTTTGCTTTGGAAACTGAACCCCAGAAAGATCAAGTAACAAATTTAGTTTATACACCCAATAGGTGGCAGAACCACAATTTAAATTTAAACTGCCTAACCCAAGAACCCAAGTTCTTAACTATTGTAATATACTACAAGAAAAATTAACAGGAAAAGTTGTTGTTTCATTATAAGAAAATTGAAATATACCTCTGTGGCCCATTCCTTCTTTTGGTCCAGTTGCAACAACATGTCTCTGACTATTCTCTTTCTAGTGTCTTCCAGAGTAATTTTATACTGTTCTTTAAAAAGAAAATGACAAGGCTTATCCCGGGTACAACTATGACGTTAGTAAATGTTATCTTCCATGGTCTGTACCTCTCCTTTCTGTGCATTCCCCCCTCCCCAAAATTTCAGGGTACATTTCCACTGAAGCATCCAGCACCTTCAACCAGCAGAAATGCTCCGGTAATTCACTAACACCTTAGTGTGAGCTAGTTTAAGATGACATCTCCCCCAAGAGTGTTTGTCCTTTCAAAGGATTGTCTCTCCGAAGGGAGAGTTGCCAATACTTTAGTACTTGTGTGGCCGTCTACCCTTCGTATCACACAGCTTCTGATCCACAACAGAAATACGAGGAAGACTGATGATCCTGAACCTCTGACTTCCTCTGACAGTGTTTCCAGGATCCTTGGCCTGCGTGGCCTGGGGCAGGGAAGACGGAAGGAGAAGCGGAGAGCAAGGCCGGGGGGCCGGGGACAGCGACAGGCTTGGCCCTGAGCGAGGCTCGGAGCAACAGGACAGAGCCCAAGGAGGGCAGGTCTTCCCTCTGCCTTCCTAGGTCATAAATGTCAGAACTGAGGGCGCAGAGGAGCATAAAATTTGAGGCCTCGAAAGTTGCTAGAGATCATGTAAATCAACACCCCTGTTTAAGGAAAGTGAGGCTCAGCGACACTGAGGCTGCTTTACAGAGTGGAGAGAAGTAAAGCCGGATGAATCAGTCCAGTCTGTTCACTGTTTTACACAATAAACCATCACCAAGCTTTTTTGATGTGCGTGACACTGTTTAAGGCACTGATAGTATAGCCAAGTAAGAGACAAAAGCCCTGCCTTTACGACAGGTGCATCCTAGTGGGGAAGTCAGACCACAAATAGGTAAGCAAGCAAATAAATATTTCAGGTGGAGATGCGCGTGATGAAGAAAAACTAAAATTCTCTGGTTTACACAGGGTGATCAGAGAAAGCTTTTCCAAGGAGGTGGCATCTGAGCGGAGATAGAATAAAGTGAGGGAGTCAACAGGAGGGAACTGGACTACTCCAAACCTGAGAACAATCCAAGTTAGTTTTGTTATATGATAATATCTATGCTATATTTATAACGCCTGAAGGATCATTATTTGGAAGTCGGAAGGTATTTTCCCATACAAATGATGTTGATGGTTATGGTTGCTAGATTTCTGAACTGGTCCACAGAGACCCATTTAAGCTATCCTGTAACTAAACAAAAGTATTGTGCCAACTAGTGTGGAATCTAACTGCCCTTTAAGACATTGTTTTGAAGGGACAGTTTTCTCCACAGACCATGTCAGCCAAAGCAGAACTGTCAGGGGTCTTTGATTACAGGGGAGGAGATCGGCTGGTCTCGTCTTTCCATAGTTTGGAGCCAAACTAAGGCTCTGGAAAGGGGGCCAAGGAGCTAGGCAGGAGTTACTCAGCTACTCAGCCCTCATCTGTACTCATTACTGGCATAATTGCTTCTCCTAATAGATGAAAACTCTGAAAGCAGAGTGTAAACACTGCTCTTCCATATCTTTCTATTACTGCAGTCCCTGGGGCACAACAGATATTAAAAATATTTTGAAGAAAATTAAATTGGGCAAACTGCCCAAACGTCTTTGGCAGGCAATGGCCTGAGGCTTCAGCACAGGGCAGCCGCCGCCAATGAGGGCAACTTTCAGTGGCAACTTTGGTTGGCAGGAGGAGGGGGAGTCCAAAGGGAGGAGGGAAGAGCTCTCCAAGTTGTAGAGTGGCCAGAAAGGGGGCTGGAACGGTCAGCTTCTGCCTCTAACGGAGTTGGAACAAGTGTCTGATGAGACAGCGGCTTATAAACAAGAGAGTTCATGAGGGTTTGGGGACCAGTCTAACTTGGCATCTGGAGGGTAAGAAAATGGAAGTCTTGCCCTGGCCGGGGAGCTCAGTTGGTTAGACATCGTCCTGATACGCCAAGGTTGCAGGTTTGGTCCCTGGTCAGAGCACATTAAAAGAATCAACCAATGAGTATATAAATAAGTGGAACAACAAACTAATATTTCTCTCTCTCTCTCCATAATCAATAAATAAAATTTTAAAGAAGGAAAAGAAAATGGAAGTCCTCGTTATTCCATCCTACATATGCTCATCTCTATAACCTTTATATTTCTTACTCATTCAAAGTAATCGCTAGATATATTAATGATAATCGAATGATATATTAATCATTCGAGCGCATTTCTGATGGGTCTCTTTTTCAATTCAGGATGCAGTCCACTAGACTAATGCTGGGTATTATTTGAAACTTTTACCCAACAAAACACAAAAATCAGTCTAAAAATTGCCATGTGTCAGGAGCTTAGTTGTAATAAATTTTACATCCTTAGCATCTAAAAGAAACCATACAACCTGGAGCTTGATAACATGAAATATTAATTCTTTGCTGTAAATCATGAAATATAGATAACCAGATATGCTCTGACTAAAGCTGTACCTCTCTCTATTGCTATATTCCTACCGAAAAAGTAGCAATAACATCCAACTGTTTCAAATTCCACATAAAGTTGTATGGACTGTTTTTCTTCTTAAAGGCAGAGTAACTGGCACAAGGGACCACATGAAAATCTCACTGTCATCCTCTGTGATTCAGACCATGTTTCAGGTGACAACTATTAACTATTCATTTGTGAATACAGCCAAAGAACCTGGGAACGTGTAAAAGTTTCCTCATAAAAGTTTGAGATACTGCAAATGGGAGCTTGGGAGACTATGACCTTGTGCCGTTAGGCTCTTGGCTGCTCAGGTGCCCAGGTTAATGTGGTCACTTGTCGCAGGCTGACTGCAGAACTGCCCCGGCTAAGCTTGCTTTGCATTTCCTCCTCTCTCTGTCATGTCCAGCTCTGCTTTGGTCGACTCCTCCACAGCCTTTTGGGAGTCTGCAGTCTACTCTTCACATACTTCTGGTGTCATAGAGCTTTACTGTGCTGATCCCCTCCTGCGGTGGCCCCCTTTCAGCCCCAGCAGGAGAACACTGAGCAAGGGCCGGCGGCGATGCCAGCCAGGCAGCAGCTTCCGCAGGCACAGTGTGTGTCGCAGAGCCATCCCTACCTCGCTGAATCACAGCGCTGGGGGCACTGTCTGAAGCATATTGGTTTGGTGTCAGACACATGGGTTCAAGTCCCACTTTCACTCCTTAATAAGCTTGTGAGTTTGGTAAGACAATTAACTTCTCTTGGCCCGTTTCCTCATCTTTAAACTGGCACAGTGATATCTAACCCAAAGGAACCTATAGATGAGATAAAGTGTAGAAAAGCAGGTGCTGGGGGTGTGAGTTCTCTTGGAGATCACCAAGGGACTTTCATTTTACAGATGAGGAAATTGACATTCAAAGGAGGAATATTACGTTTTTGTAAGTGGACCTGAACCCAAGTCTTTTAACTCACTATTAGTGTACAGAGAACTTCTATGGCTCCCTGCCCTGTGCGCCTGGAAGGACAAAAGTAAGAATGATCTGTGACTCTACTATCTAATGGCTTATAACAACCCACACGTTCTCTATTCCTGGGTCTAATCTAAGATTTCCTCTTATTAAGAGAAAGAGCCACGTCCTGAATAATCAGGACTGTGTTTCCTATATCCAATATCTTATCTTAACACCTCCTTCCAGCTAAAAGTTCAGGGAAGCAGCTCTAGGTGCTTCTTCTCCTGTGGCTACTGAATAAGGGAGGGTCGGACGGCTAACCCAGGAATGGTTTGTGCCGGGTCCCAGTGATGACCCACCGGGAGGCATGAACAAAGGACTTTGGTCATCTTTGTTTAGATCAGCGATCACACCCACTCTCTTTAGAACCTGGGCTGGAGAACACTGCAAAAATTGACCTACGGTGTTTTGTTATAGCAGCCAAGTGGACTGAGACACAGGCCCTCCCAGGGCAGCAGCCACCTCTTCTTTGCTCTGTTGTCAGGACTGTTAACTAGTCAGCCACGTATCCCTTAGATGTCTCAGGGGTGAGTCATAAAATGGAGCTGAATGTCCCCTAAACTGGAGAGGACACCAAACAACCTGAGGAATTTTCTTAGGAACTTTCCATCTTGATTTGAGGTGAAAGGGGAATTACCCTTCACCTGGCCCTTTAGGGGACGGTGTAGAACTTACAGCACACCAAGGGCCCTTTCCAAAAACTATCCCCTAATTTCTAATGATCTTTTCTTGGCCTCTCCAACTTCTTTCGTGGACCAGAATTTGGTGGTCGAAGGTATGAAGCCAGTTTTCTGCCTCGTCGTATTGCAAGTTTGCACGTGGTATCTTCCTGTACTTTGAAATGTGGTATCCATTACACGGCCACCCCAGTTCAAACTGAGACTAAAAAAGTTTCATTTTAATATCTTTTTTTACTTACAATAAGTCTTTTTTTATCTAAAATACTTGTTCCTCGCAAGTAAAACAGTCTAACACAAACCCCGCGACCATGGGTGTGAGAGGAGATTTCCAGAGAAATCATGGAAGGATGGGGCAGGTGGGAGAAGAGGAGGGGAGAATAGCAAGAAGGTTGTAGATAATTGACTTAGGAGACCCAGGCTCATCGTGTCCAATTAGTGGTCCCCCAAGTGTTTTAAAGTCCCCAGGAAGAGTTGCTGCTGCGTGGTTGGGAGAAGTGCCTAAAACTAATGACAAATAAGATAAGCCTTGAACAGCCATTTCCCAGAGACACAAAAAGCTGGTATAAACCAAGATTCAACCAGCAAGGAGTTCAACAAATAAATGTTATTACCACCACTACAAAGTTGGATACAACAGCATGACAATTTTTAGCTGAAACAAATCATCCAAATTTCTTTCTTTTTTTAAAGAATAGTTAATTGATTTTTTTTTTTTTAGAGAGAGGAAAGGAGAGAGAGAAAAACATTGATTCGATCAGCTGCCTCCTGCACGCCCCCCCCACCAGGGATCGAACCTACAACCCGGGCATGTGCCCTGACCAGGAATCAAACCGGCAACCTTTTGGTGCACGGGACAATGTCCAACCAACTGAGCCACACTGACCAGGGTCCGGATTTCTAATCAAGATAATGGGTTGAGTTTATATGAGATCACTCTTTCTACTTTAAAAATATAAAATGAAATGCTGGATAAAATTTTAGAACATTTTAAACATGCCAGAACAATAACTGTTTTAGAAGTATGGCACTGGCACACAAATACATAGATCAATGGAACATAATAGAAAGTTTAGAAAGCTCTCCAAATATACATGGGGCATGCGTTAAAGTACAATCAAGTCAGCATCTCAGATCAGTAGGGTAAAATGGATTACTTGATAAATGATATTGGGACAAATGGAAAACCATCTGGCAAAAAAAATAAAATTGGTTTCCTATCTCACACACACACAAAAATCAAATATTTAAATATAAGACTGCAAAATTTTCTCACACATATACCCCACAAACAAAAGGCTAATGACAAATGGGAAAATATTTGTACCTTGTATCACTGTTAAAGAGCTGATACCCTTAAAAATATAAAGTATTCCACAACACAATAGAAAAGCAGGCAAAGGGTATAAACAGATGGTTCACATGAAAGAGTCCTGAACTTATAAAAAGATATTCACTGGTACTTATAATAAGAGAAATGTAAATTAAAGCTACAGTGAGATACAGTGTTCTACTTTTAAGGATGACAAAGAACAAAGAGTTGGATAATATCCCCCGTTGTTGAAGATGTGGGAAAACTTAGCACAACCTCTGTGGAGGGCCAGGCCTATCAAAATAAAAATAAATGGGCTGCTTAGGCCAGCCATTTCTCTTTAGAGATACACATAAATGAAATTACATGAACACAAGGATATTCATCACAGTAAAAGAAGATATGTATAAGGATATTCACTGCAGCATTATTTGTAATAGTAAAAGGCAGGAAACAACCTAAATGCTTATGAGTAGGGGACTGGTTAAAAAAATTATAGGACAAGACAAAGTAGCCATTGGGAGACTGAGGAAGCACTTAACACGTACTGACCTATAATAATGTCAGTATTGTTATGGGGAAAATCGCATTCGTAGCATGCTGTTTGTTTATGTATATATAATACTTCTGAAAGGCTACGTGAGAAACTGGTAATAGTGGTTTTATCTAGAGAGAGGACCGAGTGGCTGGGGAAACAGACAGGAGTGGGAAGGTGCCACACTCTCTCTCATTCTGTACTTTTCTTTTGGGAAGGAGAACCTCTTGAAAAAGTGTAACTCCAAGCCCAGACTTGTTTGGGGCCAAATTTACACTACCGTTATGGTGCAGATGCCCTGAGCCGGGAAAACGACATAGAAAGTGATCTAGAGGCGGGGGAGTGGGGGTCTGGACAGGCCCCCAGCAGAGGACGATGGGAACCAGCTCACATGAGCCCCTCTGCAGTGCTGGCACCAGCACCAGGGGGCTCGGGCCCGTCCCCTCACCCGCCCACAGCGTTCTTTCAGGCCACCCTTCTCCCGTTTGTTCTCCCCTATGACTTTCCTGTCTCTGGTCTCTGGTGTTCTTTTGAGCCACTCTGCTAGTTGCAGTGACAGACAGGTGGCTCATGGCTCCCAGAGCCAGTCCTGGCGCATCATCCCGTCCAGTGTCACCCTGTTCCACACCCTCCCCACTCTGTCTTGCTCACATTTGTTCTCCAGGGTTTTGCGACTCCAGCTCAGCATGTGCTTGGGGTGGCTGTAGCTCGCCTCGGCTGAATTTCCTCTCTCATATAACCGGGTCCCGGGCCCTCCTGCCTCAGTGGACTTACCCCAGACCCAGGGGGAGCGCACAGACACCACCCCGAGTGAAACGCCCTCCTTGGGCCAGCTGCTGGCAGCCTTTCTCCACCCGCCTCCCCTCCCTTTGCTCCCTCTTCGCGGTTTCTTAGGTGGTCCTGGGATAGTTTCTCTGTTTCCTCCCTCCGCCTTCGCTCTTGGGCTCAAGCTGCTTGTGCTGACCCAGCGGAGAGGAATGAATGGTTCAGGGAGAACTGGGTTTTTTCCTTCCATTGAATGTCTGCCCTGTAAAATGTTTTACTGAACCTGAACTGGCTTTGTTGCAACTGACCTGACATTTTCTCTGCATTCTCTTTAACTTTATTGATGTCATTCTGTAGGGAGACAATGAGTTTAGCATGCTGCTCACTCCCTACATTCTTGTATTCTTCCCAATATTCCTTCTCGCTGAGTTTCTCGAGAAATAGTTTCTCAGTGTTGCTTATTTGCAAGCGCATATCTGTTGAAAGAAAATCAAAACACCGTGTCATTTCTACTGTCCTTGCAACCATGGTGTGTTGCAATCTGGTTTTATGAAGTTAAGGTCTGATATTAAGATGCTGTTATCTCATAAATCTGATTTTATACCAACAATTTAAGGAAATTGAAACTATTCAAACCATTGTTTAACTATCCCTCATGATTCCAAATCTAAGTAAAATTAAAATTCCAACTCTAAAGTAGGTGTTTGGCTTTGGGCTGTGATGGAAAGCTATAGAAGACAATTCAACTATATGCCTAGGGACCCGCAAGTTTAAATTACCCCTTTGATAGCTGGATAAGGGTCCTATTTGTACAGTGTATTATGCCACATATTCTTTTTATTAGAACATTGTCATTTTTCTGGCCATATGCCTCCGGGCAAAGTGATTTCACTTTATGTCATTCCATGGTCTTTGGCAACCATTTCTGTACGTAATTTGTTTAGTCTGTCATCTGAAGTTCATTTGTGTGAAATGATAGTATATAAGTCATAACAACATGTTTTCCCCCCACACCCACCTGCAAGACTTCAGAGTAAAAGATAAGTTCCCCAGTTAAACATGTACAAATACTGAGCTATCTCGACCATATACACTTTCAGTGTGCCCGGGTACACTTGCTAAACATGGTGTGCTACGCAATCTTCAGGCTCAATATCATGCTGCTGAATATTTTGGAAAAGGAACCATTACAAAGAGCCAGGTGCAGCGAACATGATGGCTACTTGGCTCACGACCACACACCGTCCTGTTTGAGGGCCCCTGGAGAGCAGTGCCACCTCCTCCTCATCTCTGCGAATTCAGCACTCAGCAAGAGGCTGGCACTTCGTTGGTGCCCAGTAAATGTTTATGGAATGACGGAAGCGTCCCAATCAGGCCGGAGGGAGGCTCTTCAGGCCAGAGGTCCAGAAGGACTCCAGACATGTCTTTTTCTAAATATGTAAGATTATGTATCTTTAAATCCCTTAATAAATGGCACTTGCTATTTCATCAAATAATTAATACTCCTATAACCCAGATGACCAGCCGTCCTCTTATTTGAGCAGACGATTGCTGTCTCAGCCCTGTGCCTGCCACATTCAGCTTTTGGGGGGAGTGCTGGTTGACATCACTGAAGATTTTGAAACAGAGGCGGAGGTAGCGACTGTTGCTCTACTTTCCCAGGACCCCTGTCCACTTCACTTCTAGTAACACACTTTTCCTACTCCTTGTCAGGTACAGTTGTTTGTATGGAAAGTAATACAATAATTAACAAGTAATAGTTCAAGAAATAAACTCTGTTTCGCATACTCACAACTGTAAATGGACTTTTGCCCCACCCAGTGTGTAGGCCAGCCACAGTGGCCCCTTCCCTGGCCACCGGGATCGGTCCAGGCCTGAGCATGTGTCCCAAGCTAGACACGTGCTGAGTCTTCCGTATAAATATTTCTACTGAAACTGGTGGAAAACATGTTTCTTGCCTCCATTTTGAGGTTATAAAGATGTAAGATCAGAGCACCCTATGGCTAGAGTTCCAGCCTCATGGGGACAACAGCCTCAGAAAAAGGAGCCAACTTTCGGGGGAAGACAGAGAGGAGATTGCTAAAGGAGGTGGGAGGATGAGGGAAGGAGAGAGGGGAGGGGGGCAGGGAGGGGAGAGGGAGGTTTTTTTTTTTTGAGAAAGCTGAGATCTGACAGCATGTGAGGCTCTGGGTCACCTGTCTTTTCTGCTTGGTTATATGAAAAGAATTACATCCTGTTTACGCTTAAGCTAGTTTGGGTGAGATTTTTATCCGTGTAACTGAAAGAATCCTAATGAAAGTTTGGAAGAAAGGGGTTGTATCAGTACTTCTCAAACCCCACTGTGCGTGGGAATCCCCTAGGATCTTGTCAAAACGCAGGTTCTCATTGAGGAGGTCTGTTCGGCTCTGCGGCTCTGCACGGAAACAAGCTGCCACGAGAAGGTGTGGCTGCCGCTCCACAAACCTGTCCAGTTGCAAGCGACGACCTGGGGCCCACGAGACTGCCTCAGAAATCCTCCCAGGCGCCGGCGCTCCCCCCTTCCCTTTCTCCCGGCCCCTGTGGGCTGCCTCGGCCCTTGGGCCGCCTGCATGCTCCTCTGCCTGCTGTCATCCAGCTGGGGACAGGCCATACTCGGCCGGCCCTCGGCCCAGACCACAAACAGGCACACCCCAACCAGCCGGCCCTTCCCTGAAAGGCAGCTCGCTGAGCACATCCCAGTGGCCCTTTGGTCGCAGTCCCATCTTGCGGGACTTACGAAAGTATTCCTTCCAAACGTAAGCAGAGCTTTCCCGGAGAGGAGCCCTGAACAGTACATATTACTACCTCCCGACATCACTGCTGCCCAGGAAGAGACTTGGGTAGGAGGAGGTTTAGGGGAACAGTTTTGGAGGCCCCAAAGAATGAAGTTTGCTAACTAATGTTTGCTTTTAGTAACTATTTCTTTCAAAAGAACAAATTATCCATGAATGGAATGCCTGCTCTGTGCAAAGTCTTGGGTAAGGAGGCTCTCCGAAATATTTGGGGAAATTCAGTGAACTCCTGTCCCCTTTTTACCTCCTGGCTTCAGTCTAGTGGCGCTCAAGCCTCTTTCCCGTGTTCTCCAGCTTCCTGGCAGAGATGCATTTAGAGGGGCCCTGGCTAAAGCAGTTTTAGAAATCTCAGCGGCAAGTTTGAGGGTAAAGGAATAGGAATTAATAAAAATACAAGTGTCAAAACTATGTGTGTGACCTAATGGTATTTCCTCAGCCCATGGCAGGAGTGTGCCCTGGGTCCCTCACCTTCTGCACCCAGCGGCCTTTCTCTCCGTGGCCTCCACGCCGCCTCCTTCCCGACTCTAACCCCCTTTGCGGTCTAAATGCGGGGAGGCTTAGCTCTGTGGAGACACTGGGTGGGGAAGTTCGTGGTTATTCCCCTGTCGTTCCCAACTCTGAGCTGAGTCTGCAGCCAAGGACGCCACCAAACAAGAGTAATTCCCCCAAGAAAGAACAAATCCCCGCCGCGAGGAGCCCAGAGCGGTGTCTCCCAGGGCGCTGCCTGGCCTGAGAGTAGGGGGCTGTCACCTGTCCTTGGCCTTGGTCACTGCCCTCATCCCCCCTGCCTTGGTCCCAGTGCCTTTTTCCACTTTGCCGCTTCCCTCCTGTCCGCTTGTGAGCTCGTAGCTGTGGTGGTAATGACACCATCTGAAGTATGTGCGCTGCGCTTTTCATATATTAGAAACAGAAGCGTTAATACGTTCAAAAATAACTCGATTCAGCTTTGTGATAATTTTCTGAGTTTGTAAATCACCTCTTAAGTTTTGTTCCTGGTCTCTTTCAAACTTCCACTTTTCCTTCATTGCCGCCTCGACCTCCTCTCTTGTTACAACTTTTAAGGCATCTGGCTTCTCCTCGGTCAGCTCCTTTAGCAGGTTCCGAATGTGCCAGACCTGCTCGTCCTTCAAGCGTCCGTTCTGCCGGCAAACCAACAGGCGTCAACTACGTCAGCTGGAGCGTCCCACCCACCTTCCTCCAAACAGTCACACGCGGAGGCTCGCAGAGTGAGAGAGAAATAGTTAATGAAATCAGTTAGACAATAACACCTCTAAAAGTTTATGGAAATGGAAGATTTAAAATTAAACCCATCAACACATTAACCACAGGATAGAAAGTTACATTTTAACAATTGTGTTATTAATCTACCAGTCTCTCACCCCATAATAGGGCCAATGAATATTAAAATTAGATCTTGGAGGTCAATTTCTCCAGCTTAACACCATTCTTCTTTAGCAATCATCATTCATTTAGTCAGTATTTATGGAGCCAAGTAGTCTTCTATACACTAGGAATATAAAAGTGAACAAACTAGACAAAGAGTACTGCTCATGTGGAATTTACATTATTCTTTGCATTTTTTACAAATGACCCTAATTCTCTTATTTTAGGGTGATGCCTACTCACCATTCCAATGCTTCACACTTGAAATGTGGACTGGGTTTCCTCTTGGATATCCTGCTTCTAAGCTTCTTATTTAATCAACTTAGAGTTTATTCTTGTCCTTGCTATCTTATCATGTGTATTCGGAGATATCTGAGTGTGTGTGAACTCAGTACATTTTCCTTGTAATTTTCTTAGGATCTCTTTAAGTTCTAATACTCACTTCCTTGATGTCTCTCCTCCAATTTTTTTAAAACCTAATAAAATGTATATTCTTAAAATCTGTTAATATGTCTTTTAAAATTTACTTACTTGCCCATACTTTAACACACTCCTTACTATAACTTTTTCCAAAATTATATTTGATTCCTGGTATTCATGTCTTTTTATACTCTTACTTGGACACTTTAAGAGTATTTTTCTTTCCCAAAGTTGATTTTTAAGACCAGCTCTTCTCAGGCTTTACCATGTGTACCAAGCACAAGGGGATCTTGCTAAAATGCAGATTCTGGAATTCAGTAAATTTGGCACATTTCTGAAAAGCTCCAGGTGATGCCAAGCCTGCTGGCCCACAAGCCATACTTTGAATAGCAAAGTGTTTTCAGATAATCTAAGTAAATTATGATTTATCGATAGTATTAGAGTCTACTAAAACTCCATTCTTTATTTCTTAATCCAACAAACTTTAAACTTGAGGGCTGAAAGACTTACTATCTTAAAATTGTTTAGCAAAATAGACATTAGTTTAATAAACTAGGATTTAATGTTACTGTAATGCCCTTTAAGTTATTCCATAGGTTGCATGATATGATTGTCATTTCAGTGCATTAGAATTTTAATTTAAAACTTTGATGAACTGAACGAAAGCAATGATTAATTAACTTTATGATGCTCAATATTGATAAATACAAGCCAAAAAAAAAGGGTGGTAGTGGATTGAGATGGATAAGCTTTGAGTAATTTCAAAAAATAGAAACAAAGATTAAAGGGCATGGTATTCAAACATTAGTGGTTTAACTTCTCTGATCTTTTGTTTACAATATTCTAAACTATCATAATTAATTCTGTCTCTGAAGAATTTTTAATACCAAGAGATTCATAATGTGATAAATCTGAAAACTGAATTTCTCTCCTTCTAACCCACTCTTTAAAATCTTATTGGGAGTGACATAAGCAGGAATATTGGAGTAAAGACCTCCAAAAGTCCTCTCCTTCATAACAGCAATTAGAAAATTGGCAAAAATTGGCAAAATCAACTTTTCAGAAGTCTGGAAATGAAAGGCTTGCAATTACTTCCAGGAAGTGTTTATTCAAGAAAAATAGTTGAATCTGAGTAAGGGCAGTGAGCTTTGTGGCATTTTACCTTGCCTGAAAAGCCAATAGCCCCACAATCATGATAAAAAAACACCAGCCTAGCAGCTTGGGGATGGGGTCAGGGAGAAAAGAGAAGAGGGGAGCAGAACTCTTCCAAAACACAATCCCTAAACAATGGTCATTACTTGACATATCTGATAGTTCCCTGGAAAATCCCACCAGCAAACCTGTCTTTATTTAACTTGACTCAGAACTCACCCAGTGTGTGAACAGCTTTTTTCCAGATTGATGTTTGTCAAAAACAATCAGAGGCAATTGTGAAACATTAAAGCTCCCTGAGGTGGTAATAACAGCTGGGGTAAACAACAAACTGACCAAAAAAAAAAAAAAAAAAA